GTGCATGCCGCAGTTCACTCTGGTGGGCGAGGCAGACATCCCACTCAAGGCTGTGTTTGACTGCAGGGTCCAGGATTTTACGATCGACGTCTTTTCACCACATACATCACACGCTATCGGTATCATTAAGCTGGCCTTGGAGCCATCTAGCGCCCGAGCGCCGACCAACACGCTCAAGTTCAATGTCGTTATGCACGAGATGATTGGCTTTGCGGAGCGCGAGGGCACGGAGGTGCATGCTCAGTTGTTCATTCCTGGCATTTCGGAAGAGGATGGAATCACGACCACGCAGATGATCAAGGACTTCGACGAGGGGCCAATCCGGTTTGAGAGCGTTCATAGCATGAGCGTGCCGTTATTTGCGCCACCCGAGACGACCTTGAGGGTGGCCATCTTTGCTAGGGTGTCGGCGATGCACCTTGACAAGTTGCTCAGTTGGGACGATATGCGAGATGCGGTTCCTGCTTCCCGGGCTGGTGGAAGGGGTGCGAGACTCAACGAGTCGCAGTTCTTTACTGAAGAAAAGCACGATCTGCTGGCCCGCGTACAGATTCTGGAGTTGAACGAAGAGGGAAACTATGCGCCCGTGGAAGTTGCTCAGACCAGCGAGCTCGACGCCGGAACTTTCCACCTCCACCAAGGACTGCAGAGGCGGATTGCTATCAATCTTATACATAGCTCTGGCGATGCACTACCATGGGACGATGTCACCGCAATGCGGGTTGGGAAGATACAGCTGCTGGACACCGCAGGCAAAACGCCCGACATGGGCTCGACTAGCCCTAACCTCCACCTAAAGCTGTCTTCCAAGCCCGTTTTCCGGACCAACGCAAATGGCACTCGAAGCATCACCATGATTGGCCAGTGGGACTCTAGCTTACACGACTCTCTTCTCCTCGACCGGGTCACGGCGGATAAGTACCGCGTCCAGATGACAGTATCGTGGGAGATTAGCTCCGAAAAGCTTGCCGAACCGATGAAGTTTTCGATGAACGTATGCGTCCAGATAGTGTCGCGCTCCTTCGTCCGGCAGACATCAATGCTCACAGCCCTCTGGCAAAACGTCCGGTTCGTGCACTGCTCAACCGGGGTGTTTACGCTGCAGATGCGACCGGCACCCATCAAGCGCGTGGGCGACCTGTGGCGGATGAGCAGCCAGCATGACTACGTCAAAGGGGAGGAGAACCTTGCAGCGTGGACGCCCCGTGGTGTTTCGCTGATTGCTGACTACATCAGCTCAAGAAAGAAGAAGCGGACAACGTCCGAGATTGCGGTAACGCAGAACTTCCTTCGCAAGATTGGTTTCGGTAATGAAGCAAACAGTATCGAGGAGGTTGACGACGACGACATACCGCCCCCACCGTTGATGAGCGATACGGATTCTATTGCTGAACTTCTCAACGATACCCCCGAAGGGTCGGAAGCTGCTTCGCCACCTGGGTCGCCACCCGCAGGTGAAGACGATACCACTCTTAAGCCATTTGACCATGAGCAGCCAACATTGGCAGCGGAGCCAGAGCCAGAGCCAGAGCCAGAGCCAGAGCCAGAGCCAGAGCCAGAGCCAGAGCCAGAGCCAGAGCCAGAGCCAGAGCCAGAGCCAGAGCCAGAGCTAGAGCTAGAGCTAGAGCTAGAGCCAGAGCAAGAGCAAGAGCCAGTGCCAGTGCCCGAACCCGAGTACACAGGAGGCCAGGAAGCCCTTTTGAAGCGCTGCCTAAAGCTTTGGCTTCGTTACCCTGATCCGATGCTCAAGATTCTGAGTCCCGCCAACACGGACCCGCCAGCCAATGGCATATCGTCCGCGGACTCACCACCACCAACCCCTGAGTTCATCGCTACAGTCATCCGCGTAGCCAAAAACCCCACCGTGCTCAAGGGCGGATACCTCCTTGTTCCCAGCAGCGATGCCACGCGCTGGATCAAACGCTTCGTGGAGCTCCGCCGGCCCTACCTCCACGTGCACAACGTCACAGACGGTGAGGAAGTCGCCATTGTTAGTCTTCGCAACTGCAGAGTCGACAGCCAGCCTGGCATCCTGGGGCTCCTCAACGGCGGAGGAGATTACAGCAACGGACAGGATGGCGATGGAACCAACGGCGGAACCTACAGACCAGGACACAGGAGGACCGCCTCAGGCCGGCTCATCTCGACAATTTGGACAGGCACTGGGCTTCGAGGCGGTGGCGGAGGAATGCAGAAGCTGAGCGAGAGGCTGCAGAAGGGCGTGTTTGCCGTGTACGGAACGGACAACACGTGGCTGTTCGCGGCGAAGAGCGAGAGGGAGAAGATAGATTGGATTACTAGGATTGATCAGAGTTTCCTTACGTCGAGCGCGAACGGAAGTGGAGCCGCGACTCCGGAGTGGCAGATGGGCATGAGCGGGTTTCCGGAGTGAGAAAGGGAAGTAAGATGGATAGGAAAGCGAGGAGAGCAGAAGCAAAGGAAAGTTCTTAGCATTTAGGGCATGGGATACCCCGGGCAGAAAGAGAGAAAGCGAAAGAGAAGAATACGATAATGGCCCACGGCATGGCAGACACGTCACACGTTATAGAGTGGAGGAGGTGCACCTTGAGTGGTGGTGGGTTGAGGACAGGACATGACTGAAATGAGATTATGGTTTCTTTTTGTTCGAGTGCTTCTTTTCTTGCGTCTTGGTGCTCGCTGCTGGTCGGGAATCGCCTCTTCTTTCTCAAGGCGGGAATGGGTTGCACTACTCTACTCCTGTTCTTCGTTTCCGTGTCCGAGGGTTGGTATATACCGCTATAGACAGGTAGGCGAAGGAGTGGTCCATTGTCTTGCGGGCGGTCAAGGTCAAAAAGAGGATATCACACCTACTCGAAACTCGGGTCTTTTGGTTTCCTTTGTTTATATCTTTTGGATTGTAAGGTACTTGTACCATTACCGTGTACGTTTCAGATAGTTAGCTCGGATTATACCCCAGTTGAGGAATGGCGAAAGATAGACAGACTGATTGCTAGGGCGAGGACGGAAGTGGATGGAGGGGGAAGCAGAAGGAAAATCAAACGAAACACATCACTTAGCAGACTCATTCAGTTCGCTTTTCATCGCATTACCAACTAACATTGATTTTTATCTCATTTCCCTATGATACAAACACCTTTTTCATCCCCCCTTTTTCATCTCCTCAGAGGTTCACCTACGCAATAAGCCTCCTCTCCTTCTTGCCCTTGCCCTTGCCCTCCTTGTCCTCCTTCTCCTTGGCAAACTTCTTGAAAATCTCAATCAACCCATCATACGCCGGCTTCTTGCTCCAGTCCTCGTTCCACGGCAGGGCCGCGCCGTTGTCTGGGAAGACATGGGGGATCCAGCTAAAGGGATCATAGAAATCCCAAAGCGTGATGCCGACGCACTGCGGGACGCGAATGCACGACTCGGCGACGAACTGGTAACTCTCCTTTTGCCAGGCGAGCTTGCTCTCGTTGACGGGCACCTTGATGCGCACGTCCAGTTCGGTGAAGGCAACTTCGGGGACGAGCTCGGCGTAGGCGGTTAGGGTCTTGACGTGGTCCTCCATCGTGGGGTGGTTGTCGGCGTGGAGGTGGCCCTGCATGCCGACGCCGTCGATACGGATACCGGCGTCCTTGAGGAGCTTGACGATGCGGATGGCGCCGGCCGTCTTGACCGAGGCGGGACGCTCGATGCCGTAGTCGTTGTAGTACAGCTTGGTGCCGGGGTCGGCCTCGGCGGCCCACTGGAAGGAGAGCTTGATGTACTCCTCGCCGAGGACGTTGTAAAAGACGGACTTGCGGTAGCTGCCGTCCTCGTCGAGGGCCTCGTTGACCACGTCCCAGTGGGCGCACTGGCCCTTGTAGTGCTCGGCCACGCCAAAGATGTGGCGCTTGATGACGGCCTTGAGCTCGTCGGGCGTCCACTTGGTCTGCTCAACCCAGGGGGCGAGCTGGCTGTGCCAGACGAGAGCGTGGCAGCGCAGGAGTTTGCCCGTCTTCTTGGCGAGGTTGGCGACGTAGTCACCCTCGGTGAAGTTGAAGACGCCGGGCTCGGGCTCAACGAACATCCACTTTTGGCCGTTGGTCGGCGTGGTCTGGCCGAACTCCTTGGGGTCGGCGAAGATCTCGTCGTACTTAGAGTACTGCGCCGGGTAGGGCGCGCGCTCACGGAAGCCGGGGGTGTCGGTGGCGGCGCCGAAGAACTCGAGGCCGGCCTTCTGGGCCCAGTAGTGGAGCTGCGCCGATGCCAGGGGCACCGTTGCGGCCGCCAGGACGGAGCTGGAGAGCCTCATGGTGACGGTGTGGGATGTCGAGACCTGGGGCAAGGAGGGCGAAAGCTAGAGAGGGGAGTCAAGGTCGGTCGTCCGTCTGCTCTGCCTTTCCCGTCCCCCCTCACTGAGGGGGTCCCCGTCATTTATATCCCCAATCCCACGTCGTAATCGCATTCTCAGGCTCCCATTCTTACCCGGCTCCATGGGGACGGGAGCAAATCGCAATCATTCCATATTAACCATCGCGTTCGCGTACCTGCGTGGTCGTCCAAGGCCGAGTAAAAGGGGGGGAAGATCCGTCTCCGCCGGGCTACAACACGATAATACTGGCCCGCCGATCGCTTCCCAGGTCCGCGCCCCGAAAATGGAACTGCCCTTTCAGCCGAACCAGCCAGAGTCGTATGGCGCCCAGGAGCCCGCAATTACCGTTGTTCATGGCGGCTTGCCCGCCGCAGCGTCCGGGTAAAGTCACCGCTTGCTTGTCCGCCGTTGCATCCCGGCTATTAAGGACGTCCGCGTAGTCTCCGCGTAGCTACCCATTGACGTGTAAACAGCCATTTTCTTGGGTGCTATTGGCGAATAACAATGTCCTTGGCAGCACCGCGATGTCCGCTTAGGGAAGGAAGCGCTCGAATCAATGCAACCTTCTCCACGATGGCCACGGGAATAACACGACGGAGACCTCACGAATCATGGTCCCGCTATGCTACCGAGAACGAAAACGAGTTGCAAAAGGGGCAGAGATTGACAAAAAGAAAACCTTCGACCAAGCTGGGACTCGAACCCAGAACCTTTACCAACTTTGAAAGATTCTTCTAGAGTTGAAGATATCTTGCACCGGAAAGTAACGCGCTACCAATTGCGCTACCCAGCCTTTGTTGCATATCTTCAGGGGTGAATACTTTGTGCCTTTGTGGGTGAGTGGGTGCGTGAAAGTGTGTACTGAGGGGCTGGAAGTGGAGATGCATCGGAAAAGCCTCCTGTGGGCGAGTCGTAGTATTGTGGATATACCACGAAGAAACCCACTTGGGTTGGCGGAAAGCCGGAAGCTTCGCCGGCCCAGGTTTCGTAGCTTGACGCCGAAGTAAACAAAGGGGAGTGTAAAGGGGTCTCGTTGTCCTAGTAAGCGTCGAACGTATATGCTGACTGATTAAGGCCCGATAAATTGCGCGCCTTGGTAGGATTCTTACACAAACCCTTGATATTTTTTCCTCATCGATGACGTTTCGTCAGCCAGCTCAAATCTCGCTACTTTGGGCAAAAAGCCTCCAAGGTTCCAAAGCCCCAGCGCGCAACACTCGGCCCCTCAAAATCGTTAATATGTCGATCCAGCTGTCAAGACAGCAATACCAAGCCCATCAGAGCCTCCTGGATCACATTGAATGGCTGGCTGCAATACAAGGCATCATGTAGTATTGATTCTCAAGCAAACTCCAGAGCACCAAATAGTGACGCTTGTGAGACATCGTTGTCTTCAATTTCCTCAATGGGATCGCCAGCGTAGTTCGGAAGGGCTCGGATGTCGGCTCTGCCGTCAAGAACTCGCTTCTTTGATCTGCCTCTTCGCTGTCTCGCAAAGGTGAGCGGCAGGGCAGCTGCCGCCGGTCGTAACACCTGGTTAGGGGTTGAGCGGCTCCCGACAAACAGCTTCGGCGGGGCGAACCTGAAGTGCGGCTCGCCACCTCCTACAACAGATTGGGCAGGTTCAACCGCCATCGACGTGACCATCGAAGGCGCCACCGAGGGAGCCACCGAGACTTGGTCACCCAAATACACCTGATAGCTGCTCTCCGGTTCCATAGAAGCGGCCAGCCGAGGGCCGCCACCGTGGTTGGTGGAACAATCGACCCCTGGAGGCATGCTCCTGTCCGCTTCAGGCATGATTCTGAAAGGTTGGGTAGCGGCATATGGGCTGCTATCTGTCAGATCTGACGACGGTATCTCTGCCGATGACGGCGCCAATGTCGCTTTCCGGCTTGCAGAAACGATGGCAGCCGACAGATCCTCGGTAGTAGTCTCGGGTGCTACAAGACAGCCGGTGAAGGGGGTCCCCGGCACGGCCAAAACGCTGTCCAACTCGGATAGTGGTTCCTCGGTAACGTAGGCCAAGCGATTCGATGACTCCATTTTCCGAGCCTCATCCCGCACAGCCTCGTCGAAAGCTTGCTCCAGCTCGTCTGTGTTGTCGTCTCCGAAGACGAACTGTTTCCATGCCTCATCCGAATACGCCCCGTATAGTAAATCCCCGCCTCTAATAGGGTTCCGAGGCACGGCCGGGGGGGTAAAACAAACGGCGCCGCCCGGAGTGGACTTCCTCCCATGAATAGGGCTACGGTCAACCGGAAGCTGTTCCTGAGGGTTTTCTGGGCCAAATTCCTCGTGTGACCCATGGAGCCCAATCCTAGACACAATTGCATCGTATTGATCGAGTATCTGTGAAAAGTCGCCTGAGCTCGGGACGTTTATGGACCATTTGGTATCACTAAGACTCCCCTCTTCTTCCTCGCTCGGTGTAATATCAACCGGGACTGAGAGAGGTTGGAACAACTCTCTAGAGGGGCGTCTCTCACTAATTCCAGGGCTAACATCGGCTCTTTTCGGCGACAATCGACCATAGGCGTTGGAATCGTCGGTAATGAATGAAGCAGTGGATTCTCCCAGCCATCGTTGCCAGGCAGTGTTCTCCTCTGTCTGAGATGGTGGAACTGGCAGTATTGGACGGCCGGCCTGGGCCACAACACTACCCGAATAAACAGATTGTTCTGGGTCCAGCGAATAAACTTGACTGGGAATGGCTCGAAATGGAATCGGGTGGACAAGGTTGGGGGTTTGATCCTGTTTTTGACCCTCGAAATAGGCAGACCTGCCGTATTCTTTCGTCCTTGTGTTGATATTGCCTGTTATAGGTGACACAGGCCGAGTGAGTGGCTGTCTCCGGCGGTGAGAAACCCCCTCCTAGGGGGCTGACAGACGGTTAGCAGGTTTCCAAGGGCCAATGAAGTCAACAACATGCCACTCATATTCCCCGGCAAAGATAAGCCGTTTCCCATCCTCTGGTTAGGGTTGGCCCGCGAAGTCATTGCGTTTTGCCCCCTAGAATTAGAGGTCAATACGTCCCCAAGCTGGGACGGGATGTCCCTACGGCCGGCCTCAGCCAAGGTTGCATTTCGCTTGAGTCTCCGTTGTCGATGCATACGCCTCAACCTCTCTTCTATGGACAGCTCGCCGGGATTTGGCTGTTTTTGCGCGCTTTGGAAATACTTGGACACTTTGTGAGCCGTTAGTCGACGAGAAAGACGCCGGCTGCGAGAAACCGCCTCCGCCCCGGGAAGGTCTCGGCTTAGACTGGGATTGGGTCTGCATTTCTCTGTATTTCTCTGCATTTCGCTGCCTGGATTCTGATGAATGCCTGAGAGCCGGGTCTGCACGCTGGGCTAGGAACTCGGTGACGCTTTGGAATGGGCCTATTGAGGGAACAGGAGTAGGCGCTAGTCGCTTCCTGATTTCCTCGGCCCACTCTGGGGGACCGGGTTCCTGGTAGCGCCGTATGAACGAAGAAGCTGATTGACGAGAACCCAAGGAGCGATGAGAACCATGAGAGCGATGAGAACCGTGGGATCGCCGTGATGCCGCGGGGCTGGAGTGATGCGGAGGATTTTGAGGAACTTGGTCAGTAACCTCACCCCCGCCGAGGGCACGAACTCGAGCTTTCGCGAAGTACTCCTTTTGACGTTGACGAGGTGCGTTGGGTGTCTTCAAACTCCGCCGGCTGGCCTGGTGGAGAGTACCCTCCGTCCAGTTCATGAGGGCGTTGGAGGGGAGGTGGGCAGCGGTGCACTACATCGGAAATCTGAAGGTTGTGGGAAGATTTTGCGAATTGGCCTCAATTACCTGTTCTAGTAGCTACAGGCCAAGAATGTTAGCGACGGGCTCTGTTCAGGCTTTCTAGAGCATCCAAAAGCGGTCGTTTCGCTCCTGCCAAGATAAAAGCCGTTGTGGATCTGCATCCCTGTGGCGTTAGCCAACCCCCGCTGAGGCTCTCCGCTCCGACCCCTGTAATTGGCCGAAGCCACCCGCGTCGACCCCAACTGCCCCGCACCTCAATGACACTCAACATCTATCCCACTTTCCCGGCACAGCTATCGGAGCCACCACCACGAAATGCGATCAACAACCTGGAGGACAGCCCGAGTCCTCACCACATCTCTCCTCGTCTCCAAAAGACCATCCCCATTCATCCCTCACCTCATCCCACTCCTCCGCAAAATGGCTACCTCCCATCCCCCCATCCTCAAACAGCCCGTCAAGCTTGCCTGCGTCCAACTCGCCTCAGGACCCTCCAAACCCACCAACCTCACCCACGCCGCCTCCAAAGTCCGCGAAGCCGCCGCTTCAGGCGCCAAAATTGTCGTCCTCCCCGAATGCTTCAACTCCCCCTACGGCTGCGACTACTTCCCGTCCTATGCCGAGGCCCTCCTCCCATCTCCGCCCCCAGCGGAAGCCTCCCCCTCCTTCCACGCGCTCTCCGTCATGGCGCGCGACAACAACGTCTATCTCATCGGCGGATCTATCCCAGAGCTGGTGGTCTCGGAGACAGACCCGTCGTCCAAGACGTACTACAACACTAGTTTGACATTTTCGCCCAAGGGAGAGTTACTCGCTACGCACAGGAAGGTGCACCTGTTTGATATTGATATTCCCGGGAAGATCAAGTTTAAGGAGTCGGATGTTTTGTCGCCAGGGGACAAGGTCACGGTGGTTGATCTACCAGAGTACGGGAAGGTGGGAATTGCGATTTGCTATGATGTACGCTTCCCGGAGCTGGCGATGATCGCGGCAAGACAGGGGTGCTTTGCGCTGATTTATCCCGGGGCGTTCAACACGACGACGGGGCCGATGCATTGGAGGCTGCTGGGGCAGGCTAGAGCGGTGGACAATCAGGTTTATGTTGCGCTTTGCAGTCCTGCGAGGGATGTGGGCGCGAGTTACCATGCGTGGGGGCATAGTTTGATCTCGGATCCAATGGCGCAGGTGTTGGTGGAAGCGGATGAGAATGAGACGATTGTGAGTGCTGAGTTGGATGGGGCGAGGATTGAGGAGGCGAGGAAGGGGATTCCGTTGAAGGATCAGAGGAGGTTTGATATCTATCCCGATGTGAGCAAGGCGAGGGTGGGCCCTTGAGAGGCCCTGGAGTTGTGTCGATATACCCATATAATGTGAATTTACGGCAACAAGACACTGACAGAATCTCAAAAATTGATATGTCTCTATCTGTCCGAAGAGATCATAGGTATCTTCTATGGGGAGCTGTACCATATAGGCGATCGTCATCTTTCTTGAGCCATCCCGTTATTGTCGACTTTTTGGTAGCCTCGTCGCCATTTTTGTTATTTCTTGTCATCAGATTTCGTTCCTTCTCATGCCGGCAGAAGCTCATTGCAGAGCAAGCTTGGCGAAAGTGGGCAGGACGAAGCTGGCCTTGTGGATCTCGGCGTTGTAGTACTTGCAAAGCTTGACCTCCTCCTCAGCGGACCATGAGCGGAGGGGCACCTTGACGTTGCGGTTGGCGTCCTTGCAACAGACCATGAAGCCGATCTGGCCACCGGGGTAGGTGGGGATGGTGGTGTAAGCCCACTCAGCCACAGGGAAGACCTCCTTGCAGTCCTTCTTCAGCTGAGAGATGATGTGCATGTGAATCCACTGGTTCTCGGCTGTGAGGTTTCACGGCGTTAGTTTGGTGCTAGAAACGACTTTAAGAACCGTCATGTGGGGAAGGACGAAGGCCAAGACGAGATAGTTTAGGGCTAGACTCACCCTGAGTGGTAATGACACCACCGTCGCGGAGAGCGCCGTTCAGAAGCTCAAAGTAGGACT